GTATATAATCCTTTTAATATACTGCTGAATTCTGTTTGCTAGCATTTTGTTAAAGATCTTTTAAAAAATCAGTATTTGGGGTGCCTGGGTGGCTCAGTCATTAAGCGTCTGCCTTCGGCTCAGGTCATGATCCCAGGGTCCTGGGATCAAGCCCTGCATTGGGCTCCCTGCTCAGCGGGAAGCCTGCTTCTCCCTCTTCCACTCGCCCTGCCTGTGTTCCCTCTCTCACTGTGTCTCTCTCTGCCAAATAAATAAAGAAAATCTTAAAAAAATAAAATTAAAAATCAGTATTTGTAAAGGGTATTGGTTTATAGTTTTCTGTCCCTGTAGTGTCTTTGGCTTTAGTTATCAGGGTAATGCTGGTCTCATAAAATGGGTTAGGAAGTATTCCCTCCTCTTTAATTTTCTGGAAATGTTTGAGAAGGATTGATAGTTTTTTTTTAAATGTTTGGAAGAATTCACCAGTGAGGCATCAGAGTCAGGCCTTTTCTTTGTAGGGAGAGTTTATGCTTACTAATTCAGTATCTTTACTAGTTATTGGTCTAGTCAGATTTTTTTCTATCTTTCTGATTTAGTCTTGCTAGGCTTGGCATTTCCAGGAATTTGACCATTTTATTAAGGCTATCCAATTTGATGGTAATTGTTCATGATATTCTCTCATAACTCTTTATTTCTGCAGAATCAGCAATAATGATTGCCCCTTCATTTCTGATTTTAGTAATTTGAGTCTTCTTTTTTCTTAGTCTATCTAGCTAAGGGTTTGTCAATTATGTTGATATTTTTGAAGAACCAGTTTTCGGTTTCATTGATTTTTCTCCATTATTTCTCTATTCTCTATATCTTATCTCTGCTTTAATCTTTATTTCCTTTCTTGTGCTAGCTTTGTGTTTAGTTTGTTCTTTTTCTAGTTCCTTAAGTTGTAAAGTTAGGTTGTTGGTTGGTTCATTCATTCCTTCCTTCCTTTTTTTTTTTTTCATTCCTTCCTTTCTTAAAACAGGAACATTTATTGTGTGACTAATCACTGAACTTTGTTTTTAATTTAAGTGTCATAGCATTAAATTTCACCTTAGCACTGTTTCCACTGTGTCCCATAGTTTTGGTATATTGTGTTTTCACTTTCATTCATTTCTAAATATTTTCTAATCTCTCTGGTGATTTCTTCTTTGATCCACTGATTTTTAAAAAGTGTGCTATTTCATTTCCACAGTTTTGTGAATTTTTCAGTTTTCCTTTTGTTACTAATTTCTAACTTCATCCCATTGTGGCCAGAGAGGATACTTTGTATGATACCTATCCTTTAAAATCTATTGAGACTTAACTTATAGTTTAACATATGGTCTATCCTTGAAAATGTCCCATGTGCCCTGGAGAAGAATGTATATTCTGTTGTTAGGGGGAGTGTTCTGTATGTGTCTGTCGGATCTAGTTAGTTTATCGTGTTGTCCAGGTCCTCTATTTCTTCCTTATCCTCTGTCTGGTTGTTCTATCCATTATTGTGAGAGGGGTACTGAAGTCTCTAACTATTATTGTAGAACTGTCTATTTCTCCTTCATTTGTATCAGTTTTTGCTTTTGATGGTCTGTCATTAGGTGCATAAATGTTAGTAACTGTCTGTCTTCTTACTGCATTGAACCTTTTATTAATATAGTGTCCCCTGTCTCTTGTAACTTTTTTTTTATTTAAAGTCTATTTTGTCTGATGTCAGTATAGTTTCCCCAGTTTTCTTTTGGTTACTATTTGCATGGAATATCTTTTCCATCCTTTCACTTTCAATCTGTTTGTGTTTTTGAGTCTCAAGGGAGTCTCTTCTAGCCAGCATATAGTTGGATCATGTGTTTTTATCCAATCTGCCAATCTCCAGCTTTTGATTAGAGAGTTTAATTCATTTACATTTAAAGTAATTACTGATCAGGAGGGACTTTTGTCACTGTGCTCTTTGTTTTCAATATGCCTTAGAGCTTTTGTCTCTCTTTTCCTTCTTTCTTGTCTTTCATGTTAAATTGACTTTTTTTATAATGAAATGTTTAAATTCCTTTCCCATTTTCCTTTTGTGTATATTCTGTAGCTATTTTCTTGTTGGTTACCATGGAGACTACATTTAACATCCTAAAATTATAACACTCTGATTTGGATTTATAGCAGTAAATTCAGTAACACACAAAAACTCTGCTCTTCTAGAGCTCTGTCTCCGTCCCTTTTGGCTGCTGGTGTCACAAAATTACATTTTTATACACTGTCTTCCCCAAAATATAGACTAATAATTCTTTTAAATGCATTAGTCTCTCAAATTATGTAGCAAACAAAAAGTACAGTTACGAACCATTGCTGCAATATTACTAGCTTTTATAATTGCCCATGTATTTTACTGAGATTTTTATTTCTTCTATGGCTTTGAATTATTGTCTAGTGTCCTTTCATTTCCCCCTGTAGGACTTCTGAGCATTTTTTACTGGGAAGTTCTAGTGGTTATGAACTCCCTCAGCTTTTGTTTATCTGGGAATGTCTTAATTTCTCCCTCACTTTGAACAAAAATAGTTTTGCTGGATATAAGACTGTTGGTTGACTTTTTTTTTTTAAAGCACTTTGAATATACAGATTTCTCCCACTATCTGAAAGTACAGCATTCCTGTGAAACCTTTTGTAAGGTGAAATGGCATAAACCAAAAAAGCAACTGAAGCATTTTGTAAAAGTGAAAATCCTCTTTGGATTTCTTTCAGTTAGCTAAAACAGATATTAATGCTGGTCCTTCATAAAAAGTGAAGTGGTGTAAAGAAAACTTTCAGATAGTGGGGTGGAAAGCTGTATTGGCCCACTATCTTCTGGCCACCAAATTTCTGATGAGAAATATACTGAAAATCTTATTGAGGATCTCTTGTATGTAGTGACCCATTTCTCTTTTGTTGCTCTGTCTTTTACTTTTCAAAGTTTGATTACAATATGTCTTGGTGTGGGTCCCTTTCATTTTAGTTGAGCTGCTTGAATGTTAACATTCATGTCACTCCTCAAATTTGGGGAGTCTTGGCTATTATTTCTGCAATTATTCTTTTTGCCCCTTTCTCTCTCTCCTCTCCTTCAGGGACTCCCACAATGCATATGTTGGTACACCTGATGGTGTCCTACAGGTCTCTCAGTCTGTTTGTCTTTTTTCTTTCTGTTCTTCAGACTTGATGCTTTCCATTGTCCTATCTCCCAAGTGTGCAGATTCTTTCTTCTGCCTGTTCAAATCTGCCTTTGAATCTTCTAGCAAATTTTTCATTTAAGTTATTGGAATTTTCAGCTCCAGAATTTTTTGTTTGCTGTTTCATTTTAGGTTTCCCAGCTCTTTATTGATCTTTCCATTTGTTCTTGACTTTCTCCACATCTTCTTTTAGTTCTTTGAGCATTTTAAAGCAGTTTTTAAAAAGTCTTTGTTTGGCATATCGCTCTCTTTTTCTGGGACAGTTTCTGTTGACTTATTTCTTTACTCTGAATGGGCCATACCTTCCTGTTTCTTTGTATGTATGCCTTGTGATTTTTTGTTGTTGTTTTGTTGTTGTTGAATATTGGACATTTGAATCTAATAATGTGGTAATTCAGATGCTCCCTCTTTTCCAAGGTCTGCTGTTTTTTGTTATGGTTTTTGTTTATTGTTTTCTTGATTGCTGTAGGCTGTCTCTGTGCTGAGGATCAGCCTGAGAAGTAAACTTAAGATCTTCTCAGGTCTTTTATGAGCCATTCCCTGGGCATGCATTGTCACTTTATAATTTTCGACATATACGTAGTTTCTGGATATTCTAGTCTTTAATGTCTGCCTCCCAGAAGGGAAAAAGCTAAGAATGAAGGAGGTGGGTAAGGAGGCTAGCCCTTTAGATCCCCTGGAAGTCACTTTAGCATGCAGGGAGCTTGCAACAAAGCAACAATAATCACTGACTCTTTGTCTACACCTTTGGAATCAGATGCAGCAATCGAGGACAGATTCCCAATATTTGGAGGCCAGGGTTCTTTTTGCCCCCCTAGCTCCTGTAAGCTATGGGCCAGCTGCTTCAGGAACAGTACACTGTGGCTGGAGTGGGCCACAAGTAGCTGCTTTTGTGCTAAGAGCTGAAATTAACCACAATGTTTCATCTAATCTTCCCCTGGAAGTTGCAAGCCTTCAACAGACTCAGAGTTCCAAAGGACTTACACAGAGAGATTCGGCCAGTACAACTGTTGTCTAGGTGGAAGACAGATTCCTGGTGCTTCCAACTCCACCATTTCCCAGAATCCTCTCCCTTAATGTGTAATTTTTAAATCTTTTATAATGATCTTATACACAAAAAAGATTATTAAAAACATTTAGAAATGTGGTGCCTAGGTGGCTCATTTGGCTGGGTATCCAACTCTTGATTTCAGCTCAGGTTGTGATCTCAGGGTCGTGGGATCAAGTCTCACATCATGCTCCACGCTTGGTGTGGAGTCTGCTTGAGATTCCTTCCCTCTGCCCCTCCCCCCACTTGCATGCTCTCAAATAAATAAATAAATAAATAAATAAATAAATAAATTTTTAAAAAGCATTTAAAAATCACTTAACTTTAGATTCTGTGTTCAGAACCTATGAAGAGTTATACAGGCATTTTTACTATCCATACACGTATGTGGGTATGGATATGTGTATACGTGTGGGGGTGGGAATGATAACAAGTGTGATTATTTAGGGCTCCCAGCTTAAATTCAGACAAGGAGGTAAATTAATCTAAAAAATACACAGAAACAGTTGACTTATTCCCTACAACTATTATCTGTAAACCCAAAGGTGACTGATCTGTTATAAGTTAAGAACCTGAGGCCCAGGTATCAGTTCAGCCCTACCTTACCATGTGATTTTAGGAATATAACTATATTTATGCTCCTGACTAGGGAAAATTCCAGGGTTAGCTCTTTCCACCCTAAATGATCACAAAGCACTTTGGGATTCCCTATTCTAGGTCCAGTGTGTTTCTGAAGGAATCCAATGCTAGCTCTTTGTACCACAAATACTCACTCTTCCTCATGGACACAGCCTCTACTAAGGGATCTTCAAGGAAGGAGGGAGACACACTGCTGCTGCTGGTTGACTTGTGTAGAGTTTCCTCCTGAGAAAGGGGTGGGCAGAGAAATAAGCACTAAGACATTAGTGCTCTCAAGCTAATAACATTTTACTATTAGAGATTTATTTTAATGTGAGGTACCACATTATATCAAAGGTTAAAGGCAAATAGAAGATAAGTTAGAAGGTACCTAAAATTAGACAAGCCTGGGTTTGTGTCCTGGCTTTGTCCCTCATTAGAGTGATGTGACACAGCAAGTTTCTCACCTCAGTACCATCATTTCGTATTTAATACCATCTTTACACTGTATTATTGGATCAGATGAGATAACGCACTCAAAATGCTTAACACATTACCAGGCACACAGTGAATGGTGGTTAATATCATTATTAGGAAAATATTTAACACATTTGTAAAAGTAATAGATTGTAACTGGATGAAGGTAGATGCTATGTGTCTCATTCACTGTTGTTAGTAACAAACCCACTGTTAGTAAGTGATGAATAAATATTAATATTTGTTGAATAAATGGATGAAAATAAACATTTCACCAAATGTCATATGAATCTAGAAAAATGTCTACATTATGCAAAATAAAATTTAAATTCCTATTACCAATGAGATGAGACCTTCTTAATTTGTTTCAGATTATACCAGGAAGAAGTACAATATTTATTCACAAAAAATTTATTATCTACTATGTGATTGAGGATATACATAAACCACAAGACAATGTATTTCCATAATATCTATAGAAAATTGCTAAATATTTTAAATGTGGAAGAAAGAAAATTAGGTTAAAATATTCACCTATGACTATATGAGACATGTGTTAAGCATTTTGAATGCATTATCTCCCTGACCTACTGAGTTAAGGTGACTTTAAGAACTAATTTAGCCATTCACAATAAATGGCCTCACCTAAAACCTACTGCTGAAAGCACTGGTTTCACATAAGCTACAATACAAAGGATCTGGTCAAAGAACAGGGGATGAAAAAAGCCTTTGTAAACCACACAGTTCAAATAAAGAAGGTCTGAGCAGTGACCTCCCCAGTCTTGGTACATACCATGAAGAATAAATCAAGCAATGTAACCAAAGCCTCAACCTGAACACGGTGTAGAGGGCACACAAATCTCCAAAAAAGCTAGCAAGCAACTAGAATGACCTCCTTCTGCCTATGAAAGGTCAAAAGGAAATAAAAGCCAAGAGTATCTCTTAGGAAAAGAAAAAGGAGACATACACAGTAGTCCCAAATAATTATGAGATGGGTGCCACCTTGATTTAAACAGCAGAAACCACCCCCACCCCCACCCCCTTCACATACCTCAGCCCACCTTCCCCAGAAACATTTTTAAAGTCCAATTCTGAGCATGTCCACATGTTCCACACCACTCCTCTTTGCTGTTCTGACTTGCTCCCACTGTGAACAACTGAGAGTCCATCCTGGGGCAGCTGGGTGAGTGCAAGTCAGTCAGTAAGAGACAGAGAAGTGGTGAGGGCACTGGCATGGTGGCAAGGCCTTTTGCGATTTGCTCCCAGAAGCTGTTGGTGATCCTCTGCCAATGCATGCCCACCACAGGCAGATGCACCCAATTTCTCACTGCTTGAAATCTAATCTTCATTAGGCTTAGTTCCTGGCCCAGAGGAATCACAAAGACACTCAGAAGGTGCCAGGGGACTTGGAGGTCAGATCTCCTCACAGAGAGGATGTAGGTGTAGACTCCTCCTTGGCTTGCCCTGTCATGTCTATTCCCTCGACTAAACACTTTCTGCCTGGCTGGGGGATCATGATGGTCTGTGATCTCTAAAGCTATTGCCAGAAACCTGCTTGTTTGTATTGTCTGATCCAGTTACCAGTCTCTGACACTCACTAAACTAGGCCTTTTCTAGTTCTACATCCTGACCAGTGACTCTTAACCAGGTTCTGGTTGGAACAAGGTCACTTCCAGAACTCCTGCTGCTCCTTCACTGCTGCTTTGCTCCAAGGGTGGTACTGAAGGCTGCCAGAATCGTCTCAGAAACTGGTCTGGGTGATTAAAGAATAATTCCTTAATTCTAACTTGGATGAATGTGGAGCGGATGGAGCCAGCAACCACGACAGCAAACAGAAGCCGGGAGGCCGGCTGTGTGTGCGTATTGTCTGTCTGGCCCTGCTGGCAGGGCCTGAGGGAAGAGGGAGGCAAGGATATAATTTCATTTTACACAGTGGAGATACACAATACTGATGCTGTAGACAAAGGGCTTGAGAGAGATTTGGGAAGCACCAGGACCCTGATTTTTTCTGAAAAACAGGGAGGACGTGAGGTCTTCCTCCAAAGGGAAGCAGGGGAAAGATGAAATCTGGAGAACCCTAGCAGAGTTTTCTTTTGCAGACCTGTCTATTGGTATTACTATTACAGAAAGAACAAACTTCACTATGGGTAGGTGTGTGTGTGTGTGTGAGAGAGAGAGAAGAATCCATGGAAAAATATTTTTTCTTTTTCCTTCCCCAAAACAAAGGGAAGCATCCTGAAGATAATACGTTTGCATTTTTTTTTTTACTTATTTTAATACCACTATAATCTAAGACCATACAAATATTTCAAAACTTATCCTATAAACTATGGCCACTGTACTGGTCTTTCCTGAAAAACAGTAAGTAATCCGCTGTTTCATTTCCTGCTAAACAAATTAATTTCAATCCCAACTTTATTAATCGAAAGATGGAAGAGATGAAACAACAATTGGGGCAACATGGTTAGTAAACTAGGTCAGAGAGGGCTTGCATTCTGAACATGGAGTCAAGATGTGTGAAACGGGCTGTCGTGGGACTCACCTCGGAGTCAGAGCTGTCCAGTTCAGCCAGAGTTGGAGCTTTGAGGAGCTTCTTCCGTTGCACAGGCACCTGCTGTGCAGCACTCAATCCATTTTCTTTCGTTTGTGATGTTAAACCTCCATTCACCATCGATGATTCCACAATGTTCTTTGGAGATTCATGGGTAGTTACATCTGGTAAAAGAGAGGCAAAAGTTTACCTTTTCTAAGCTAAGAAAAGTAATCAGTAGACCAAATGCACTTTCCCAAGTACCTCCACTTGGTAGCACAAACCACAAGCCAGCTGACATCGCACTTCCATGTCACACAAATACAACACAGGGGCCTGATATAGTAACGCCTATGTATGTAAAACATTTTTGATAGATATTAACTGTCAGATTAAAGGAAACCTTTAAATAAATAGTAACAGATTCACATTTATACATTAGAACTTAGAGCTGGAAGGAATCCTATAGATAACTGACTATAACTTCTTAATCTTGCAGAGAGAGAACCCAGAGAAGCTAGTTTTAGTTTATTGTCTCCAAAGAGCTAGTGATAGATGGACCAAAGTGGTGGCATACACAGAGCCATAGCAGGCAGATGGCTTTAAGATTTGAAAATGGTTTAATTTGAAAATCAAAATAGTGAACAATCTATATTCATATAAACATGAACACAAAGAATCTGGGATACATTCCTTCAGATAAGCTGATGTAGATTATTCAGAGCTCAAATCTGGGTGGGAAGGTAATACAACAGATCAGAGAAATACAGCAGCAGAGTACAGTGTATACAGAGCACGGAGTACGTATGTGTGAGCACAGAGCGCAGAGCACAAGGTCTGCAGACTACACAGCACAGACCATAGGGTGTGAAGGATACAGATACAGTACATCGTACAGAGTATATTTTTGTAAAATGAAAGACTTTATTTTTTTTTTAGGTAAGGTTTTTTTTTTTTAAAGATTTTTATTTATTTAACAGAGAGAGACACAGCGAGAGAGGGAACACAAGCAGGGGGTAGTGGGAGAGGGAGAAGCAGGCTTCCCGCGGAGCAGGGAGCCCGATGTGGGGCTCGAACCCAAGACCCTGGGATCATGACCTGAGCCGAAGGCAGACACCCAACGACTGAGCCACCCAGGAGCCCCAAGACTTTATTTTGAATATGCATATTATTCATTCAGTTTTCCATTGTGCATAGCTATGTATGGAAGTATACATGGAAAAATACATTAGAAATACCTAAGGATGGAAGTATACAGGCAAAGAAGACATTCAATATATACCCATGAACAGGCTTAGAAGCATCACAGGACAGCATCCATTAGAAAAGAATGAAAACCATGCAAAAAATCTATCCAAACCATGGCAGGCAAATGCAATCAGTACAAGTTATAGTTTCTTGTATAGGGCAAAAGTATACATGTTCTCTGAATTAAAAACATAATATAAATAAATATGGCGCGGCTTTTACGTCCAAGCCAAAAATCATATATAGAAGTAACAAGTGTGGATGCCGCATATGCCAATAAAACATTAAAGGCCACAGTATATAGTGTGGAGTATGTAGTACAGAGGAGAGTACAGAATATATAGTAGTCCAGAGTCCACAGAGCACAGAGTGTATGCTGTACAGGGTACAGAGCGCAGACTAGAGCACAGAGTGCGGATCAGAGAACACACAGAGTATACACTGTGGAGTACAGGGTATGCACAGCATGGAGTATGTACAGTGGACAGAGCATGGAGTATACAGTATCCAGAGTACAGGGCACAGAGCACACAGAGCAGTGTACAGACTACATATAGAGTACAGTGCCTCAATTGTTGTTTCATCTCTTCCCATCTTTCGAATAGGGTGTGCAGTACACCTGACCTCTTGTTTCATGATCTGTGAAATGGGCTTACAATAGACATGTGCTCCTTTTGAAGAGTAAGTTACCAACTGCATATAAAATACCTCCTCAATACGACAACGCACAATAAATGCTGGCGATTATTAACACTGATTTTTATCTCCATGTGTCAGTAAATTAAGGCTCAGGTGACTCAGGCAGGTACACAGCTAGTGTGTGGTACAGCTGATACTTGATTCCTTGTTAGTATTGATTCTAAAGGCCACCTTTTTTGCCCCGTACCCTGTACTCACTCTTCCAATGCAAGTGGAACCAATTTTTTTCAGTATTTCAAATGATGTGTTAAACACAAAGTTTAATAACTACTAAATTAGAGCATTTAAAAGTGAAAAAAATAAAAGTGAAAAAAAAAGCAGTCACTGCATAATTTAATTTACAGACAAACAACATGAAACTGATCTTTGCACATGGAATAGTCTGTGAAACTCCTGCGGTTGAAGGTAAAGGGTACACTAAGCCTGAAAGTGAAATAAGACATGATTAAAGCTCCTTTAGGAGGGAAAGCACTGTAACTGCAGTTATTGTAAAAATATAGCAGTTTCCCTCGCAACATACAATTTTTATATGCTTGAAGTGTAAGGGGTGGATTTCCAGGAAACATTCAGGGAATAAGCGTGTTCTAGTATAGCCTTTCTTGACATTATTAAAAGAATCATGTAAATTTAATTATAAATGATAGGTATCTAGTTTAATATTTACAATTTTTGCTAATTTTAGAGATCAAGAAGGTCAGAGCACATGTCCCTGTGAATGAGAAGAAAGGGTTTGAGTAAGCAAGGAAGGAGAGAGGAAAGGAAGACAAGACAGATCTGTCTATCATTTATTTAACATAAAATTTTTATTTTTTTAAAAGATTTTATTTATTTATTTGACAGAGAGAGAGACAGCGAGAGAGGGAACACAAGCAGGGGGAGTAGGAGAGGGAGAAGCAGGCCCCCTGCCGAGCAGAGAGCCCAATGCGGAGCTGGATCCCAGGACCCTGGGACCATGACCTGAGCCGAAGGCAGACGCTTGATGACTGAGCCACCCAGGCGCCCCTAACATAAAATTTTTAATAGAAAACTTGACAAGACATGCGTTAATTTTCTTATTACCTTTCCAGATGTTAAGCAGCTATAACAAAAACATAACTGGGGGAGGGGCTGCGCTGAGGTGGACTAAAGGGCAAAAGCAGCAAGTTTTTACACAAAATTAAAGGTTAAAATCTTTAAATAAATCTTTCCTAAGGGGATGTAGAGACACTTAACGGAATAATTGAGAAGTTTTCCAGAAAGCAAAGGAGGAAATGATTAGGCTAACTGATTAATTCCTATTCAAGAAAAAAAGGAGTGTTCAAATACAGTCTTGAAGCATATCTTAAAAGATCTTATTCTATAACTTAATTTATTTTATACACTTCCTACAGAATTGCTCATGTTGTTGTAGTAGCTAGGCTTTTAAGAGAAAGCAAGAAGTTAAAACACACACATCCTTGTCTCCTCTTAGCTGCCCAGATCCCAATCGAGGCGCCCACACGGCAGGTATTGTGAGAAGAGAAGCTGTCAGCTTTCCGCGGTGGGTCTCACATCTCCATTCCTCCAAGTCAAAGCTTCCCTAAGGGTGAGACCACTACTAGTGCATGGAGGAACACTGAAAATTTTAATGGTTATATATTTATTTTGATGCTTCAGAAAACATATATCAGATACATGGCTTTATGGATGTTTTTCCTAAAGAAATTTTAAAAGTCATTGATGGTATATTAAAATAATTCAAAAAATACTGGTGGTACTTAAAGTCTGGCAAAAATCTGACCTGAAGTTTAGGGGAAAACTGTTGAGTGACTGTGGATGCCATGAGTTCATTTCATTCTCAATGCAGGAGATTTGAGAAATGACCTAATAGCTCTCTTCTTGTCTGAACACTACAATGAGGTTGATAACTGTAATTTGAGCTCATTGACTGAAACTGAGTTCACTGACTGAAATAATAACCTCATACTGAATTCAAAGCTTTGAGATAAATGGAATTAATTAAAAAAATTACATAACAGGCTTCTCCACATATAAGACTAAATACTGTGTGTGATTTTACCTCATACTATATATTTGTAAAAGACCCAGTGGAACATATTTTTAAGCAAAATTTTTAAGTAGTTTGATTACTAATAACTTTCTGTTCCAATGAAGAAATCCTTATTATTATGTCAATGTATCAAGTGAGAAAACCAAGGAATTGAATAAGACTTTGTACTTCTATATAAGACAGAATTTCTTGAGGAAAAAAACTGGTGATATTTACAAATAAGCAAAAATACTTAAGATGCTAGATATGGCTTTAGAAGTCACATACCTCAGGTTCAGAATCTAAAATGCATAACCATGATATTAAATACTTTATGTAATAACTTTATATATGTTAGATTCACCCAACTGCTGGCTTATTTGGTTGGAGGAAATATGACTCTGATACTGATTACATATTTATTATTTGCATTGCAAAAATAAATTACACTTACCTTAATTAATGTTGAATGGATTATTAAGATTTTCCACTAAGCATTAATATTTCTAAGACATACCTAAGCAGCAGAATATACTTCATTATGTCTTATTCTATACTTAAGTCTAGAGGCATTATCTTATACTACATATTTAAATATTCACTCCTTAGTGGGTTAATTTCCCAACTTAGAGAAGAACTGTATTCCAATCTTTGCATTTAGGTTAAAAGAATGGATCAATTTTTTCCATTTATTATTTGGGACATTTTAATTAATTAGTCAAAATGGAACAATGAAAACATAAAAGTAGCTAGCACAAGAAATTGAGAATGAAGCATGTGGAAATCATGAAGTGCACTTAAAGTAGCAAATGATAAGCAGTTGAAAGCAAATATAATTTTTTGCTACTCTTTTACATCATGGAGGTGAAGAGATTTCGCCCCAAATTGGAAGCCACCATATAATCTATAAGAACACGAAATACACTTATATATAACATGTGTGTGGGCATGCAAACTGTCCAGATCAGCCACCTGTGCTTAATTTATGTTAGCCAATAGTCAATGTGTTTAGATAGCCAGCCACTCCCTTATAGTCCAACTGATGGAAACATCTCCAGAAAAAGAGACACAGTCTCTATAATATATACTGCCAACTTTTGGAGAATATCAGTAACAAATATGTATCAAAACACTTCTGAGTTTATTTTCCAGACCATTTTTATAAGGTTTTTCTTCTTCTCTTTTACAACATTTACTCTGCAAATGGTTAATAAAATAAAAATTTTCAAA